ACTTTTTTGTATTATTTTTAGTGTTTGACTGTGCTCTTATAGTTGCTGCAATATTCACAATGCATTATGAACATTTGTGGATAGATAAATATGTATACCGTACAGTTTTGGCTAAAGCAATCGAGCCATTATCTAGTAATTTATAAATGCATACATATTTTTAATTATTATTCCTCGCACAGGAACGAAATAATATGAATTAGAACAAAGTTAACTATTGAAATTTTTTAACATTGGGAGACATGTGACTAGAAAAAATTAGAAATATCATCAATGAAACTTAATATTAGGATAATAATAAATAAGATTCCAATATTTAAAGTGCTGAACTGCTGAAAAAGAATAATCCTACATCGTTAGGTCCACAGAAATTATAAACTATAAAATGCCATGAATGTAAATAAATATATTCTCGAAAGCGCAGAAGAATAATGTATTAATAAAACTATGAGAGACTATATTAATTCGTTCGTGACTGCATGAAATTTTCATGCGTTTAATATTTTGGTTTTACATCATTTCATTTGAGACAATCGCCTTCGAGTGTTGTTTATTCAAATGCCAAACCGAAAACCAAACAGCAATAAACAGCATGAAAACATAGAAGCAGGAAATACGGCGACTAGAGGCCTGTAAAACATGCGTACATATATTCATATGTACAGTTCGTAAGTGTAATTCTGCTGATGTTGTTGCCAAAAATAGTTGTGAATCCTTACCATTTGTTTTTATTTTTACATTTTGCTGTCAATGTTCTGGGAAATGCATTACAAGATGAAGTAGAAATACAGCATTCTTTCGATTATAATTATTAAATATTTGTGGAATACAAAAATATAGAAGAAGAATCCTACTATTATTTGCTTTTATAACTAAAATAACAAACCACAACAAATATTTTAAATTTGTTAAAAAATCACTCAAATCAATTCGAATAATTGAATTGATTTCAAAACAATACAAAATTAAATATTGCAGCTGAGTTTAGTTTAAACAAGAAAAAACATTAAGTTTCTCTGCACCGAAACTATGATACCCTTCGCATATACATTTCTTATGACAACTATGTACATGGTATGTACCACTAAGGCCGAAAATCCTCCGGAAAACGTTTGGCTACTTTGTTTCTAGCCACATTGTTTGATATAAAGAACCTTCAAGTCAAATTAAGCTTACTTAATAAGGAAAAAATATCTTTCATAAAGATTCTTATCTTTATTTTGATCGATCAGTTTGTATGACAGCTATATGCTATAGTGGTTCGATATCGGTGTTTCCGACAACTTAGCGTCTTCTTTCAGATTGATATCTCAAAAACTACTGGTTTATTTACATATATACAGTTGTAACTATCAGCTCATTCCACTGATCAGTTATATATTAGTATATACTTTATAGGGTCTTCAACATTTCTTTCTGCTTGTTACAAACTTCGTGGCAAACTTAATATAGTAGGTATACTGTTCAGTGTAAAAACATATAGAGTGCGTATGTGGGTTTTAACGAGCCCACTGTGTCTAAGCAAATACATCCATATATCAACCAATTGCAAGTAGCAATGAGTCTATTCAGGCTCGTGCCGCCAGCAACTTTATTTATAAATATCGTGTCTAAGTGTGGATAAGTTCAGCGAAATGTTACAGAAATGTTTCAAAGGCGTTGATGTGCAATGTTTTGCCCTGTGATTTGTCACTTAAACGCTATTCATCATCACCACTAAATTTGTGATATTTTTAGCAAAAGTGTCTTATGTTTCCTGATATTCACATTTATTTTTTGTGTTCAGCAAGTTTTTATTTTTCACATTTTTTTATGTTTCATGGCAAATGACTCAATGCGCCAATGGCGCACACGCGACAAAGACAAGACGACTTATTTGAAAAATGTTTCTTGGCAAGTCTGCAGTTGAAAATGAAATTAATAATTGCCGCAGAGAGAAAAATGAAATTCATTTAAAACCATATTTTCATTCGACTCGTTTATTTGCTTCACTTCTTTTTCTTCTGCAGCAGACACTTGCACTCACTTGACCTCCAAGTAAGGGCAGAGAAATTTTATTATTTTTATTATTCACTAATGGCTGTATGTTTTCTTTTATATACAAATTCATTTCTAATTTGATATCAATGTGATATACATATTATTGCAAATATATGCAACGGATATGTATGTATGTATGTTAAGTATAAAATATTAAATTTAAGTATCGACTTTTAAATTTCAAGAGTTTATGTACTCAAGCTTATATTCCCTGACATTTTTGTACATTGAACTTGAGTGGCACACTTATTAACAGTCAGTATCTCGAAACAATTTTTTCCCAGCGTTTGTGAAAAAAATCTGGAGTTTCAATCCACCGATTTACTTGAAATATTGGAGGGATTTTCTTTACTACTCCTTTTTTTAGTGAGATGGCAAAAAATCTAAATCTTTATTTACATAATAAAAATTCGTACCAAGCTAAAGAAAATCACTGAAAAAAATCGATATTTTTTAAACAGCCGACATCATACAAGAAAATTTTGAACTTTAAAAGCTTCTAGCCATATTGTCATTTACACTCAGAGAGTCTACCATTTTTGGCATTCAAATTACCAAAAGAATGGAAATTGTGAGATGATGGACATGACCCTCTTCCCTCGTCTATTTCAAAAACGTATAACTTTGTGAAATTTCAGTAAACTCTTAAAATATAATTATAAATAACTGATCAAAAATGTATAACAAAAAAATTGTTATTATTTTTTTAAAGCTGAAAAATGCCTTCGTTTTATGCCCCTTTACTAGAAAACCTCCTTAAACACATAATTACACTACACATTAAACACTGATGTTAATATAGTGGGTATTATATAATATAGCTATCTATGTGTATACCATTGGTTGGTCAAAATATTTCGAGTTCAAATGCTAATATAAAATACATTCCACAATAAATAACATAACTATGTAAATAAAAATAAAAACGATAGAAGTGCGGATAAGTATTTGTTATTATTGCCAATATATTGTAGCAATAAATGAAACTTTGTACGAGTTCCCTGGACAACAACAACCAAGAAATCGAACGAGCTACTTTTGTATATTTGGCTCAAGTGTTCAATTGGACCGACACACTAACTAACACTCACGCTAACGAAAAGAAGAACGAAAAGTGCCCGTAACAAAATATGAAGGCACAGCTGAAATTAGACGAATATAAATAACAACGTCAACAGCAAAGTGTAATAGAAGAAATGCGGCAACTGCAGACGGAGCCAAGAGCAGTAATATATAAAACAAAGAGCAAAAACAATTTATGTATGTTGCAATGGCCAGCTGCAGCCGATCAGAAGACAAAACTTAGTAATAAAAAGCATTGCAGCGTTAAACAACGGCAGCAGCAGACAACAAAAATGCCAACAAACAGTGAAAAAGCTAAAATGCGAGCTGGTGATGATCATGTGCAAGCGGGTGCAAAGGCACCTGCCTACGTAAGTGTTCCGAGCTATCGATAGAGGTGTGGGGATGACGGGGGCGGCAGCTGCGACACGAAACTGGTTTCAAATGGAAACAGCAACACACAAACACATTGTACGAAAAGGAAACTTAAATTCACAGCAAGCAGAGAGATAGACAAAACAGAAAATACCATACATATGTATATATATATTTACATATGTATATGTATGGACAGTTGGCCAAACTCAGAAGATAGTGTGGCCATACATAGTAGAAGCGGCAATTGAAATTGAAGTGAAGTGCGAGCATAAAACCAAAGCACTGATGTCGACAATGAAGAAGAAACGTAAAATAAATATAAAAAAACGATTATATTGTATTCAGCCGAGGCATATAACGCGAACGACGCGAGATAAGCAAAGCAGCAGCAAACCATGTACATGCATGTGAGCGAGTAGAATGCAGCATGAAAAGCAGCGCTTGCCATAGATGCCGTGCGATGGCCAACAAGCTTTTTAAAAATATCATGGAAGCAAAAAAGATCAGGCAGACAGAATCGAGTGCGACCGGTCGACAGTAATGCACACACACATTTATTTATACACATTTGTGTATTGCTTTGAAATAAAATTCACTACTAAAAGTTGGCTGCATTATTTTACTTGTTTAGAAGCTAGTGACACAGCGAACTGACGTAGAGTCGCAAGAACGGAGAGACAAACAAACAATCAGTTAGCATGTGTCTTGTCGCCGCTGTAGCTGCCCACTTTTGCTGCGCGCGCCCAACTAACTTCACAGACTGCAGTAGATACACAGAATTTGCTAGCATGATTTTGTTGTTGTATCATTTTGTTGCTTTGGATATACTAACTATTGCTTAAATTTAGCTTGGTTCTTGATTTCAGCTGGCTGTCTATAGCATTTAAGCAATACTATTTGTTACGTAGGCTGTTTATAAATAGTTGGTTTATTTGCAGCCGTTTTATAGCGTTGAATTATTAGAAACAAATATTTAATTTTTTAATAAGTAGTAAAATGTCTGCAATAATTGTTTTCAGTTTCGATTAAACTATGCTGTTCATAACTCATCTTTTGAGGTTAGGCCTTTTGATTTACAGTAAAAGTATGCAATAATTAATTATAATAATTATACTACACTAAATATAACCTTCTCATTTATATTGTAAAGTACAAAGTCGAACGAAATTTGACAATAACTCCGAGATATACATAAGTATGAATAACTCAAACCGGCCGTCACACGAAAAATCACTTGTTTCAAAGTAATAATTGAAAAATTGAGGCAAATTTGGTATTTGTTTTTTAATATATATTTATTACAAAAGTACTTTTTAATATATTCAGATGATAACATTTATTCACACATATATAAAATGTTTGGCAAAATCAATGTTATAATATTGTTGGTATTTTAATTTCTGCAAATCTTTGTATTTGTTATGAACTGCCATTGTTTTAACCACTTATCCAAATATGTACATATATACATATAATATATGTAAATTTCAAGTTAAATCAAATACGACAATTATACACACCTTATTTGATTGATTTAAATCTCTATGTTGACGAGCGCGACCGCGATATTTCCACAATACTCGCTTGTTTTTTATGCATTAACATGAGCGAACGTAAACTTTCTCACGCTTTCACGCTTATTATAAATTTGTATTTTGTTATAAAAATTCCAACAATTTTTTTATTGTTTCAACGCTAATTACATACTTGTACACTGTAAACAATCTGTCTCGGTTATAACACGCGTGTTAGCGCTTATATATTTTTGCGGCGAAGACATTGCTCTATTCAATTTATGAAACCGTAATTTTAAATTATAATTATTGCGATTTTTTTTTTTTATGAAAACGAAAATTACACGTTTAGAATATACATATTTTGTTCACATTACATTTGTTTCATCATATTAATTTTCTACTTTATTACACATACATTGATATCTACTAATTATTTTTCATTGTTTCAGTTAGTAAACTCGAACATATAATATTTATATAATGGTTTTTTATTTACTTTATTATAGTCTGTTTTTTTTTGGTATTTTCGCAAACGTTTTCAAAATTTTATATATAAAGGCAAAGGAATGCCTTGAATCCGCGGCTCAAAGATATTTTAAATTATTTTTATTTCTCACCAGCAATTAATATTTTCGCCTCCTGTTTTTTTCGAATATTTAACAACTGATTTCAATTTACGCAATTATTATATATATATTTATTGATTTCATTTCTCGTTATTCGTATACGTAAATGAAAACCTTCAAAACTATGTACCATTTAAATTAAATTTACAATAATAAAAATAAAGTTGTGCACAAGCAATTGCTTGTTGTAACTTATCGTATCTTTATTGTATAACAGTTGTTCAAACTCCACTCTGCTTTGCTTTCGATGAATTTTCGTAGATATGTACATGTTTAATACACTTATGAAACCACCCGTTCTACGTTTTTGTGATTTTTTATACGTTATTTCACCTTTTTTATTTCGCTGCTTTCAAGAAAACATACACGTACGCATATATATGATTAATAAAAATAAAGAATAAATAAATAAAATTGGCTGCTTTCATTTGCTTCGATGGTGTTTCCACTTTATCTGAATCCTCAGCACTTATTTAATACATTTCCATCCCTCTTTCGCTCTTCTAACTTCTGATTTATACATTCTATTTTTCATCACCATCAGCTATTTTTGTATGTATTTGAAAGACTGCTATAAACTTTACGTCTTGACGTCTTCAGTCGTATCGTCTAGCTCAATACAGGCTGCAGTCAACGTCAGCGTCAGTGTAGTCGGTTGTTTTAATCGCGGTTGTTGTTATTGCAGTCGCTGTTTCTGCTGTTTTATTTAATTGATTCGGTTTTTTTTTTACTTTTTACTTGCTGCTTGTAGTTGTTTTTATTATTTTTGTTTCTTCAGGCTCTTAATTTTTTCAACGTTTGCATTCTTCTCACATACGTTTTGCACTTTTCGCCTTTTTTTCTCTTCCATGGCATACCTCTATTCAGTTCAATACCTTTAAATAATTTCTGGTTCACACGTTACACATTTAACTTTTCTTTTATGTATTCATTTTTATACTTTAATAATTTTTATTACGTTTTAGCTTAAAAACTTTTAATGAACTCATAATCGTCACTTTAATAATTTTCTTTGCTCAACACATTCGGTTTTTCATTCATACTTCTTTCTTCATCTATCTATTTCAATCGATGCTCATTTCGGCTCTACACAATATTCCTTTTTCACTTTACTTTTGTTTATAAATTAACGAAGAACATTCAAATCACTCTGACTCTTTTCTAAAATTTATTATTTTCACTGCTTTGTTCAAATTTATAGCATAATTTCAATTCTCCACACGTTCTATTAACAGTTTGCGCCATTTCCCCCCTTTTCAATTTAATCGTCTGGCTCACTGGCAATTGAAGAAGGAACTGAAATAAATCAACTTTTCACGTTCTCAGGCACCCGACCGTTTCATAGTACTAAACGTTCCTATAGCTTCGCACCGTCCGCTGAATGCGTCATGGCGACGCTGAATTGGGTGTCGGCCATTTTGAAATAGCTGTCAAATATTCAACCAACTTAACGAACGTTCAATTGAGACATTTATTGGCGGATCTTTTCGTCATGGGCGTTGGCAATGAATTGAGGAATTTAGTGAAAGCAAATATCTACTCTACAATAATAAGAGGATTTAACATAGAACTTTGTGCAGAGAATATTAATGAACAACATTTGCGTCTCCTCTATTCATTAGCATACCCTGGTAAAATGTTACATCAAATCTATTTGAGCACTAAATTGTACTTGTCACATTTGAGAACATTGACAAAGAAAATAAACTCGCTACTTGCCGTGTGATGGCACTACACATCTTTGGAGCGCTACGGCAACCCGATCAAAACAGTGCTGTGATTGAAATCGGATAAGTTAAACTGATTTTATTTTTTATTTTCAATATTTAAACACAAATACTACAGATACATATTTGATAAATTATAATAAAAGATAAAAGTAATTAAGAAACGTGTTCCTGAGAAACTACACACAATCTCTACAAAGTTGATTGGTAGCGCCCTTTTAGGCCCAGAAAAATGGAACATGACAACATTGTTAATTGCTGCAGTTTATTTTGTTGTGGATTTCTTCGAACAGAGTCGCCGTAGATTCAGTCCGATTTAGAAGTGCAAAGTTTTTGTTGTGTGTAATCAGTAGAGAATTTTTTAAACAAAATAAAAGGAAAAAGTGTTATTTATTATACATTCATACCTGCAAAAGCAAGTGTAATCGAGAAAAATGTTGTGCGTTTAATGGCAGATGTGTTCGCTTAATTTCCATGTATCGTGTATTTAATTCGTAAACTGTTATTCCACGCTACATCGTTTGGTTGATTTTGTATTTAAGATTAACTTGAAGAAGTTAATTTTGTGAATGATTTCTGCAATTTTCAATGCCAAGATTGAAATTATAAATCAATTTTATGGCGTGTACGCTACCAGAAAAAGGTAAAATAAAACAAGCGGAAAAGGTAAAAAGAAAATGAAAGAAAAATGAGCACTTAGTTTACTTTGTATCTCTCGTTGAAGTGAAAAAGAGCTAGAAAATTTAAGTTGGATTAACATTTGTTTCAACAGTTTCAATATATTTCTAATAAAATACTATCTATAAAATAGAAAATTTAGTTTTGTCTAAATAAATAACGAAGAAGTGAATTACCTTGTAAAAAAAAGGAGTGTCGTGCGTTGTACGGGAAAATTGCTAACGAAAGCAAAACAAAACGAAACGCAAGAGAACTAAATGGAAGACAAACAATAATAAAGGGGTAAGGCACCTGGAAAAGTATTGCATAAACTTTATTTAAGAAATGCTAAAAAGATAGAATGTATGAAAATTATTTAATGTAATTAAGTGGAGAAAGATCTCGTGTGTAGTCACAGCTCCCATAAGAAAACCTCAGTTGCTTTAGCACAGCACGAAAATACAAAAAGTAAGAAAGGGCCAAGTTCGGTTGTAACCGAACTTTCCACTATCAAGCAAAATATATAAAGAAATCTTAAACGAGTATACCGTTTGACTGTGCAAGAGTATAAAATGTTCGGTTACGTCCGAACTTAGCCTTTCCTTACTGGTTTTGCTTGCGTTGCTTTTTTCTTCAAATTAAATAAAAACTAAAATATGGGAACAAATATTAAGCTTTTGTGTACTTTATTCAGTATTTTAAATTTGTCAAACACTTCAAAATTTATTTAATTGCGAGTTTTGTCACATTCGTAAACAGCTGATTCGAAATACATACCCGTTTTAACACCGAATTCCGAGGTTGCTATATATTCTAATATTTGTAATCAAAAAATAATTATAAATCCCTGTACATATGTATGGGCATAAACTACAAAATGTATGACTTCAATCGCGCATAAAAAGTATGCATCTAAGTTCACGTATGGGAATGCAATAATTATAATATATCAATATAAAATGTTGATAAATAAATTAAATCATCGAAATAACTTCAACGCTGTGGAAAAATATATGCTTACAAAAGTATGAACATAATGATTAAAGCAATTAAAGAAATAATAATAAATTCAATTATATTCAATTTATACTGATACCAAGAAAAAAGTTGCGACGAAGAAAGTTTACATGCATTCCAAATCAATTACAGACAATCTACAAGCAACTGGTGCCTAACATATTTATACATATTCTTATACTTTGCTTCTTATAGAAATCGTCTGATTGTAATGGAAAAATTATCACAACATACTCACGCCTGCCTATCCGACTTACAGTTGGTGGGATGTCAAACTGGTAAACTCCAGCTCACAAATCGCATTCTATCTCGAGTAAACATTTATAGGATTATAAGCTACAGAAGACAGGGGCATATATAGTGTTAACAATGGCGTGCTGGTCATGCTACAACAATGATCACACAATTGAATTAAATGTATTTTAATCTGCGACGCTAAACAAATTTAAATGAAAAAGCAACAAATCATTCATATAAACTTGTATGCACTTGCATGTTTAGGAATTTTTTGTCATGAATATTACCGGTGCACTGCTGCTGCTGTACCTAAACCTTCGAACTTACTTTGTCCGTAATTGTTTCATAATTTATTAATAACATATTCACGTTATGGACACCAATTTTACCTTTTGCTCCTCCAATGCAAAAATATTTCATTTAGATTTACAAGTGGCGACAACATGTCGACTGATGGATATCATTTGTTGCATTTTGACATTTAATGTTCACGCTTATTTGTATTTGTTTGTGTCATTACCCACCTTGTACTCAGATTTTATTTTTACTTTTATTTAATTTCATTCCATGCTTGTTTTTGATATTGCTGTTGCTAATGCCCTTATGTTCGTACATTCGTTTGCGTTTTATTTACTGGGTCTGCTGGCGGAAACGTTCACACTTGAGCTATTTGCTTACTAAGCACTATGTCACCTACGGCCATTCTGCCTGTATGTTCGGGCATTCGTTGCATCGCAAAACTAAGCACACATATGTACATAGGTACATGTTTATGTATATACATATGTACGAGTGTACTTGTAGGTTTATTTACTTTCTTTGCTTTCTCGCTGGTTTTCATTGATGGTGCCGCCACCTGTGACATAAACAACTTAAATTGTTGCTCTTTGACTTTATTTTCTTTATATTTAAGTATTAAATACATGTGTATTTACATATGTAGGTGTATAGTATATTGTGAAGCTTTAGCCGATTTGATTCGGGGCGCTGAGGTGTTATCTTTAAACAATTAATAATTTTACTTTCCTTAAGGCCCTTTAGTATTTTATACCTTCTGCTCAACGCAAAACGAGACTTTATCCATAACTCGACAAGGACATGACATATGGCCATACTTTTTGTTTGCTTAGGTTGGCAGGACTGTTATATGTTTACATGTCAAATTTGAGCGCGATCTGTCACATAGTTTTTTTTTTACGGCACTATAAACAAGTCAACCTCGAGTGTGTTTTTTGAATTTTACTATGGAAATTAACGTTGAGCAAAAATTGTTTGTTTGAAATTTTGTTATTCCAATGGAATAAGTGCGACGGACGCAATGAAAATGTTGCAGAAGGCATATGGGGAGTCTTGCCTATCACGTGCAGGTATTTTTGATTGGTATAAGTCGTTCAAGGACGGCCGTACATCGCTGGAGAACTTGCCCCATGATCGTCGTCCAGCAACGTCAATAAACGAAGAAAACGTCGAAAAAGTAAAGAAAATTGTGTTGGAAAATCGTCGTGTGACTGAAAGAGAGATAGCTAGTGAGCTCAACATATCAAATGGATCCGCTCATAGCATTATTCACGATGTTTTGGGCATGACACCAGACATGGCACCGTGTGACTTTTTTCTTTTCCCTAAACTGAAATTGTCGCTTCGTGGAAAGCATTTTCAGTCGATTGAAGTCATAAAAGAGAATTCAAAGAAGGAACTGAAAGCCATACCTAAAGCGGCTTACCAGAACTGTTAGGAAGATTGGAAAAAAAGGTGGCATATGTGTATCGCCTCTAATGGTGACTATTTTGAAGGGGATAAAATAAATATTTAAGAATAATTAACCGTTTTTGTTGTTTGAGCCAGTCTCGTTTATATTTGAGCAGAAGGTATTATAAAAACAAATTGTACAGCATTTTACATTTTTCTCCCACCCAATTCAAAAGACGACCGTTCTCACTCTAAACCCTCAAAAATTTAAAGTTTGCCAAATTAAATGCACATGCACTATACATTTTTTAATAGTTAGCACTTGCCAGCAGATTTCGTGGGGCGTACATATAAACACAACATATCCACAAATTTGTCACTAGGCAATCACAGCTGACCAGTTTGACGCGCACTTGTGTGCATGATATGCTCAGTTTTTTCCCTTTTAAGGTCGTACGCGTGTTCTTGTCGTGAACAGAAAGTAAAACTGAATGCGAAAATCCATACCGTCTGCTGATATTGCTGCTTCGTCTTTTTTTTAAACAAAACCCTGAACATCACGCTTTTTATACTCTGCATTCATGAATGAATAATGAATTTTTTTTTAAGACTGCACTTTGTTTGCATAGTTACTTATTTTTAAATATTGTTTAATACAATAATGTGTATGCAAAAAGTTTTTTTTTTGCCATACTAATAATTTCCGCGTACGTTTTTGTTATTTAATAACTGCCTAAAGGTTTTTATATCTTTTACTAATTAAAAAATATCAAAAATATAAAAGATCTTAAATAAATCTATATTGTTTTAACTTAAAACATGCCCCGATTGAGTAGACCCCAGACAGTTTCTAATTATGTGGTCACCACTGTATCAAAATAGATATCTCACAATTTTGTACTTTTCCTATTATAACAATAAAATATACTTTTTTTTTTATTTAAAAAAATTGTTTAAATAGTCATAAAAATTTTCATTTATGTATATAAATAATATTTTTGCTCAATTACATACGCCGCCTTTTTTGTAGCGTCTGCATATCTAATCATCTTAGATATAAATTCACATGCTTTTGAACGTTTACACCAGTCAACTGAAGGACAGATAAGAGTAGACGAAAAAGGATTTTCATTGATTTATGACTTGGATCAGTGTTGACATTTATAATGACAGAAATGTGTAAATTATGGTACTTTTTGAATCATTTCATGTCCACATGTGCATAACGGTTTAAATTATCCTTTTGGTTGGACTTTGGTTGTACCCTTCATATTGACATAGTAGCTTTCTAAGCCACTTGTTTTATAGTTCATCTCTGTAGTATTTTTATTTGCCATTATTATGTAATTTTTCAAAATTTTAAAATATTTATTTTAAAAAATGTAATTTTAAATCCATAAAAAGAAAGAATAGTGCCTTGTATGTAGGAAATTAATTTGTGAAAGAAGCTAGCCACGCGAAATAAGCATTTTTATTAGATATTTAATTCCACCTTTGTCATTAGAAATGTTCGCTTAAACCGCAGCACTGTTTATTTACTTTACAATGCAAATTGCAATTATTCGCCATAATATATTTAAATTACTTGCCAATCACCCCGTTGCTTAAGCATCATACGCCCAGCTATTGTATTTTTTTCGACATTTTCCGCGCCTCGTGTCACTGCGTGACAGTTTATTTTTAAGTATGCATATGTTGCTGTATAAGAAACTGCTTGCATACCTATAAACACTCGTCGAGTTATTAATTGCCATTTCTTTTCATTCACGTATACTTTTGACGAGTAAGCAAGTACACATGCCTCAATTAGTTGTTCATTGCCTAATTTTTGTTAAATCGCTGAAACTCGTGAGAGCTAATCGTTGAATTCGCGTGCGTGGCATTGCAATTGACAATTTGCTGGTCAGTCTGCTTGGCTGGCATATTGTCTATGTCAATTGTTTTTTGTTTTGTTAAGTAAATTTACTTAATTAAATTATTTGTTCGATGCATGCAATGCAGCGAATCACAATAACAAAAAATGCATTATTTTGCTGACACTGAGTCGCGTCACTGAAACTATTCAAAGCATGTGCTTATGTTCCTTAAGTTCTGTGGTTTACGTATCGTTTTTTATGTATTGTACTTAAGAGTCTCGCACCTTCATCAGTTTGTTTGTCATTTTTGCGTGTGCCAGCCAGTCGGTAAATATTTTGCATTGTCGACAATCTCATTCTATGACGTCAACTGTTGGCTGGTGAAATGTTTCTAACTTTTACATTCGTTGCTAATTACTTTCGCACTTCGCTTTTGCATAGTAGAGTAGGTTTTTATAGGAAAAAGAATTAACTTGTATAAAAACGTATATGGTATATATACAA